ATTTTCTTTTAATCTTAACCCAAGAAATCGGGCATCCAGAAATGCACCTTAAATTGATGGGTTTTGTTGATGTATTTTTTAAAAATTTCAGATATCAAAATTCATTCTCAATTAAATAGAAATCAAAATCCGTTCTCATTTTTTATTCAAAAAATCTAATTGAAAATAATTAGGTCTCATTTCGAATATAAAATTTTGATTTTTAAATCCCTTATCATTGAGTTGCCATAAAATCGGCCCACATTTATTGCATGTCGGTAGTTTTTTTAATTTTTTTTTTTAATTTATTAACCCCTTAAATGCACCATAAACTGATGAGTATTGTAGATTTAATTTTGGTAGATTTCGGTAGTGTTTACGGTTTTCTAAAAATCAAAACCCTTTCTCATTTTTTATTCAAAAATCTGGCTGAAAAAAAAATTGGCTGAATGAAAATTTTCAATTAGAAAAAAATACAATCACATATTCTCATATAAATGAACTTCATATTAAACTACTATTATTTATATATATATATTTTTTGGCAATATAAAATTCGAATTAACTATAGATTATCACGAAAGACGTTTTACGATATCCTTTTTATTTTGCTATGCAATCTGCATAAAACAAGTATAAAACATATAAGATATATCTTGCTAAATAATTTAATTGATTTACTTAAACATGTCTAGAATCCTAATATATGTAACCTTCACGACCAACTTTATGCATGTTTCACGCGCTACAAATTTTAAGTGTTTGAAAATTTTAATTTGTGGCGGTAGACGATTTAACAAAAGGGCAAACAAATAATGTTGTATACAATAATGCGTTTCTTAATAAATAAGTTACATTTTGTTTAGTCTAATGTATGCGTTTACGTTTTTTCATTCATCCAATCTAAATGCTTACCATAATAAAACTAGCCCGTGCATCGCACGGGTACCACACTAGTAATATTTCAAAATTTTAGATGATATCATTCTAACCTTCCAATCATCTAATATCCACTTGAGATCTTTTTCTTTCACCTATTAAATCAAGAGTAATGCTCACCTACCCACGGTGGACACATATTAATATGTCCACCGCTTATGTGGCATGCACTCATTGGTGATGTATTTTTTTGAACATATTCACATCACCAATGTGTGAGCATTACTCATTAAATCAATGTACAATTTGTCAATAAAAACAACATACACACTGAATTGTTATTCCATCACCACTCATCGAAAATCAAGAAAAACATAAAGAAAAAATAAATATTCTGTACTGATGAAAAATTCGTGAGGAGTCATGAAGAAAAAGTTAAAAACACCATCAAATAATATTTTTTGTTATTGGGAGGTATAAGTTTTATTTTGTATGGGTATAAAAGTCGAATTTTGAACTGATTTGTTATAAAATCAAGGTGATATGATTCTCAGATTTCAACATATTATTATAATAACTTGTCATAAGATATTGATGATAATTTGACAAATTGATATGTATTCCTCTTGAAAATCAGTAACATCTTTGAACAAATACTGATTAATAAAATTTAAAACTTAACGACAACAAATCTATAAAATTGTGATATATATATATATATATATATATA